ACATATATATATATATATATATATATATATATAAATGCATTGCAATTTTAATCACTAGTGATTTATGACTAATATTCATCACAGCGATTCAACACTATATGTCCCCAAAAAGGGACATAACATTAATATAAATGTCAGTGCAACAAAATATTAAAGAAGTTGCATTTATTTGTATTTATTTCTTAAAAAACATAGCACAACTCACTTTTCAAGTAAAACATTTCAGAAAAACAAATTAGTGAGGCTAAAAGTCATTGCAAAAATGACTCAGAAAAGTTTAAAAGGTTTGTGATGAGAGTAAATCTTTACTTTGAAATGACACTTTGTTTGATAATTTGTTATGCAGTGACATTCAAGCATTTTATTGTGGTTATTGCAGGTGTCCAAATACTTTTTGAAACCACTGCATTTTGTATTTTAAAAAGTCTAAAAATGACCTGACATTGTGAAAACGTGTTTTTAGGGCTCTTTGCCTTTTATGGGGAAACTATCGGGGAGAGACTTGAACTTAACTTTCCTAGATGAGCACCAAAGCTTAATGTATCAGCCAGTAACCAATGCGCCAAAGCTCTGACTTCATTGTTATTTATTGTTTCCCTCCTACAGGATTCAGTTTTAATTGTGGAAACTTGTTGTAACGTATCCATTTTTAAAGTAGTTGTTAACATGTTCACTTCATGAGCTCAGGTGTGAATAACGGTACATTAGCAGTGCTTCACTGTCTGCTGAGATATTATTCTGTAGGTGGACTAGAGAGGGATTTGTACGCACAGATCATTTGAAACATTTTTCTGTGTGATTTGTGGTTCTCTGCTTGCTGATCTCCACTTTAACAGGCGGTTGGGCTTGCGGTGTGTGTGATTTGTTATATCAGGAGACGTCTGTGATGCTAAAAGTGTTCCGTAGAGGATTTGGCAAGTTGAGTCTTCAGCGCTGGTCTTCGGTGAGCATTTCTCATTCTCTTTCAGATGGCTGTTAGTTTTTGCTGTAACAGACAGTTGTCGTTTTTTTTTTTTTGTGCATTTCCGTTTTAAAGACTAGGGTCGGTTTCTTAATGTTTTTGAAAGAAGTTACTTCTGCTCACCAAGGCTGCATTTATTTAATCAAAAATACTGTAAAATCAGTAATATAGTGAAATATTATTACAATTTAAAAGAGCTGCTTTGTGTTGTAATATATTTGAAAATGTAATGTATTCCTGTGATGCATGCTGTGATGGTGTCTCATGATCCTTCAGAAATCATTCTAATATGCGGATTTACTGCTCAAGAAACATTTCTGATTGTTATCAATGTTTAAAACAGTTGTGCTGCTTCATATTTTTGTGGAAACCATGATACATTTTTTCAGGATTCTTTGATTAATAGAAAGTCTAAAAGAACAGCATTTATTTTGTAACATTATAAATGTCTGTACTGTCACTTTAGATCAATTTAATGTGTCCTTGCTGAATAAAAATATTAATTTCTTTCAGATTGTCCTGTCAAATCGATTAATCGTGCATAATGTGTGTATTGTGTATATTTATGTGTATAAACACACACACATACATGTGTATATTTAAGAAGTATGATGTATATTTATATATAATATAAATCATATATATATATATATATATATATATACACACACACACACACACACACATATATATATATATATATACAATTAATCGCATGCAAAATAAAACTTTGTGTTTACATAATTTATGTGTGTGTACTGTGTATATTTATATGTATATAGACCGATTTAAGAAATATATTTAATATATATTTATATATATAATATAAATCATATATATATATATATATATATATATATATTTCTTAAATACATGTATGTGTGTGTATTTACATATACATATAAATATACACAATACACACACGTATATTATGTAAGCACAAATTTTTATATTTTGGATGCAATTAATCGCAATTAATTGATTTGACAGCCCTACTTTCAAAGAATTTTTTTTACTGACCCCAAACTCCATTCAAAATTAAATGGAAAAGAATGGAAATAGTCCATTTAAATTTCTTACACATTGACAAAGAGAGGAAGATTTTTTAGCGATGCT